TCAGGCAATGATGCATTGAAAAGGACACACGTCATTCTCTCCAACCTGGCAAAGAAATATGGTGACGTGTTTATCCTGGAATTGCCGGCATTACGGCGTGTTGTTGTCGTCAGTTCCATAGCACACGCTCGTGAAGCACTACTCACCAAGAAAGATGACTTTGCTGGAAGACCTACATCCTTCGTTCTGGATTTTTTGTCGATGGGCTCCAAAGATCTTGCCTCTGGTGACTTTAATGCCACTTTRGTTTTGCAGCGAAAGATAATCCATTCTGCCATTCGCATGTACCAGCCTTTCCTTGAAGAGAAAATTATCAAAGAAGTGAACGAAATGRTCCAACGCATTTCCCCAGGAAAACCMACAAACCCCAAGGAAGATGTAYTTTTTGTAACGACCAATGTTATCTTTCAAATAGCAGTTGGCCAGCGCTTTGAACAGATTGATGASGAATTTCTCGAAAAATTAAACCTCACCMGAAGATTTTTTAATTTAACGAGTCCTTTCAACATCCTTAACATCCTGCCATTCCTGATAAACTTTCCGATTAGCCCATCCACAGAGTTGAAAAAGCTTCGTGATGATCTTCATCAGTATATATTTGACAAGTATCACGAGCACAAAGACTCCTACCAAGATGGCGTCATACGGGACCTCACGGATGCCCTTATTAAGGCTCGTCACGACGCTGACCAAGAAGACAGCAGAAACTACCGCCTCATAAATGAAGAGCATGTTTTAATGACCATAATGGATGTTTTTATAGCAGGATTAGAAACTACAGCCACGGCYCTTCWATGGTTCATGCTGTACATGGTGAAACACCCAGAAGTGCAATCCAAAATACACGAAGAGCTTGATAGTGTTCTTGGTCCAGACGCTTTACCTCTTTGGAAGCACCGAACACAACTTCCCTATCTGGTAGCAACTATTGACGAAACTCTCCGAAAAGCTTCCATTGCACCTCTTCTTGTCCCACACAAAGCAACAAAAGATTCGACTCTTGCAGGCTACAACATACCAAAGGGTACATATTTGATGTTTAATGCATGGGCCATGCATCAAGATAAACAAGAGTGGATACATCCAGATGATTTCAATCCATCGAGGTTCATCAACGACAATGGAAAAGTTGACCAAAATGCCGGTTCGAAGAGCTTTCTTCCCTTTGGCATGGGGCGTCGTGTATGCGTCGGGGAAACTCTGGCAAAGCAAGAGTTGTTTGTCATTACGTCGAGGCTGTTGCACGAGTTTACCTTGCACAAGGCAGCTGGTCCAATACCGCAAATCACCGATGATTTGACGGGTGCCGTTCACCACCCACCATCTTATGAAATTTGCTTCAAACCTAGACAGTAGAATTACACCAAAATCACACAAGATCCATACATTTTKAAGGGAGAGAACTATTTAGATTCTGCACTCATTGAAATTATTTCATTTGTTGGATTTGCTTACATATATTTTTTCACAAAACATAAGAAACAGGTACAATACAAGGAAAACATATTTGCATTGATTAAGTTCTTACCTGCATGATTCTGCTAAAAGATTAATGAAAGAGATAAGGAATTTCTTAAAAGTCGGGCTCAATGTCCTCACTTGGTACCCCTTTGTAACAGTCTGTAAACATCAATCCATTAAAAGAGACTTGATTCTATGTATCATTTCTTATAAAACGTATTAATAATGCATKAGCTATTACTCCRATAAGRGMTGTCCATTTAATCAGGTGATTTGACCTTGTAAATYTGATACAACACTATGATACAACACTAGTGTTATTATTGTTTTGTTCTCTCATTGAGCKGACTGACTCACTGATGTTGGTATCTTTTCGACGTTTCRATGCCATTTTTGGTCGTCGTCGTCGTCCTCAGGATTTTATGCATAAAATCCTGAGGAAGACGACCAAAAATGGCGTCGAAATGTCGAAAAGATACCAACATCAGTGAGTCAGACARCAGCTCAATGAGAGAACAAAACAATAATAACACTAAACTCACTAATAAGGGTATGGTTTTTGGCCTTGCTGTMTTAAACAGGGTATACATTTCACCCGAAATTGTCKTAAGCAGGCTGTACAATTTAGATAAAAGACAGACATAATTTTTTGGGGGTCTTGGACAGGGTAATATTTTCATAAGAAATACCGTAGAAATAATAGAAATACCGTTTCACTGTAGCAGGATTAACGTGTTATCAAAAACTTTTTATTGTCTTTGATGGATGTAAGCATAATTGCAGTTACGATGTTTGTGGCGTAGATAGCGATGCCTTATTTTTCCGATTTGTCTTCAACAGGGTATGGATTTTTACTTTCCAGTGTATTATTTTTTGCTTGCGGCACGTACCTATCCAAAACGAGGTCGAGTTCCCCCTCCCCCCCCCCCGGGTACGTGGCTCAGCAACAGTCTTAAGAAAGGCTACGTCTACACCTACGCACGCCATGTGCAGTTGGATGTGGTTATCATCCAAAAGGTCGATTTTAAATTTGCAAAATTTTGTAATGTCACAAGAAACCGAACAATAGGAACATTAAGTTTGTAAGTCTTATTGTCATTTTTTTGTGGCACTTTTTGTTATTATGCAACGTACAGTGGAATCCCGAGTGACCGCACACATGCACTTGCAAAACGGAAAAAGTGTCCGTTTGTAGACCTGTGCGGTCTGTGAGAAAGTTGAACACAGTGTTTGTGTGAAAAACAAAACCCGGAATTTTGGAAAGCTATCCATAGTCAGAGCTATCGGCTTACGATAGAGTACTCAACAAGTTGAAATTCGAATGTATAATGCATATTTTTCATGATGTGGATAATAAAATGATTGTTACTATACCAATGTCTGGATTTTAACTGATTTGCATGACGTCGTGTTATCGACGTGCCGAATCCAATGAGGACAAAGTACATTTTACAGAACTTCGCAGACGGACTAAGTTAAAAAAGAATTAAAAAATCACTTGAATTAAAAAACACTTGATTCTTGACTATAGACGAAGTTAATATATAAAGTTAGCTTCATGAGGTTTTTCCATGCATGTCATGTCCTAGGTCTTCGTGACCCTTAAGCTTCCTTGTCACGCTGTTATGCTAGACTTTGGATAGATGTGTATCTTCAATGGTGCTGAWCRAATAAGCTGTGTTTATTGCATCTCCTTGACATTAAACAATTTATTTGTTATTTCAAAGCCAGTTATCGCACTGATTTGACTGTCCACAGGTAAGCTCACATCGTTGTTGAAAGCTTTACATCTTTATCAATCTCGAATGAAATCGACATCAACTGGTATTTATATTGGTATGCATTCCGTCTAGAAAACAGCGCCATAAAACCAGCAAGAGGCAAGCGAGGCACTTGAGTCTGATAAAATTGCACAGAATACTACTGATAAGTTCATTCTATAAGTGCCTTAATAAGGATTTTAACCTGTTATAGAAACCGTCTTGACTACGGACAAGTGCTACATCATTTGTTTTTATGATACGTACGTGAAATGAATTTTTGAACCTTGGAACCATGGAAGCTATGATATACAAACAATACAATTGAATGTTCAATTAAAGTAAATTAAATGCTTACTCAAACCGAAATTGATAAGAACAGAAAACGCATCGTCCATTCTGAAGAATGATTTAAAATTAAAAAAAGAAACACCATCTATTTGGTTTCAAGTTGCAACATGTTGCAACAGTTCATCATCGGTTTTGGGGGTTTTGATTGCGTGGTTTAATTTGCCCTATGGCATGATTAACGTCACAACAAATCAAGCTATGTATTATGGTGGTCAGGAGGGGAAAGAGGGAATATCATTAGAGCCAGATTTTCACTGTTGTTGAGCATCTCTTTCTACCGTCTACATGCTAGATGTCATTAAATCATTGTCTATTCTAACTTTTTCTGCATATGATTTAGGCGGGGCGAATCCAATTTTTTTATAATGGAAGTGATTTTGTTAGTAATATATAGCTAAAAACTAGGTATAGCAGATGGAACTGATCACTTTTGTTAGCTGCATGAGAATTATGCACAATTTGACCGGAAACAAATTGGCTTTTATTGCAACGTATCCAGTTGACTACACTACTCCAATAGATTGTTAAGAAGCATAGTGGCAGACACATGTTGTCTGATGCTACTCGTTTTCTCGATAAAAGTGCAACAGG